CTTGCCGTTCTCTACTTATTAAACTATTGACCCACCCTTAAGGCCGCAACAACGATGAGAATGCAGTGCTCTGATTGGTTGATTTTTCGAAACTTGTTTTAAGGTCTTTATAAAAATGGCACATCAGAATTGGCTCAAATTTGGCATAAACATTATTTGGTCGATTATCTATAATTCCTTATTTTGGTTTTTCGATATTCAGCCTTTTTTTAAATTCAAAAATCATGTTCGCAACCACCAAAACAACTAAATGTGGCCATTAACGCGGCCTTAATAATTATTTGCTGAACAAACTGAGCATATTCTCTTCTAAGGGTAAGCACATAGTGGAGCGACGAGCAATGTAGTGAGCAGTGAGGAGAGCAAAGCAGCGAAAACTGACACACGAGATTAGATTGTTTGACACATAGTGAAGAGCAGCGCGGAGATTTAGCAGCGCTGTTAATATCGAGCAAAGCGACGCGTTCAAGCAAGTTTGATTTTTCTACTTTGCTCGTTTGTCTCTGTGTTGTAAAAATGGACGTTGAATAATTATTAATAAGTAGTATTTTTGTTGAAAATCCATTGTGGGACCAAAAAAATCCCCAAAATCATAACCGATACATATTAGATAAGTTGTGGGATGATGTAGCAGGAGAAATGAAGTAAACAATTAAGTGAAAAATGTATTACATTATTAATTGATTGCTGCTGGACCAATTGGGTTTATGTTAAAGTTAGTCCATTTTTTCACCAATCTTTGTTCTATTTTCTCCAGAATGTAGGTAATCAAAAGTTTTAATATTCATTCGAAAATAAGAGTGAAATTTTTCTGGATGTTGCCGTAATTCCTCATATAAATGGTGATATTCGCCTAATCGAAGTCTGCTTCTGTTTATATGGTTTGCACTACACCTTCTTTTTTCTTTCTGTCTTCTCATTAATTACCAAATTTTTATAAAGACGACGTTTCAGTTAAAACCAAATTATTCATTTTTATTTTTTTCACGCGAGTATTAACTCGCCACTATGTGCATACAATTCTTTCATCCACTCTCTGCTCAATTGATGCTCTGCTCTCCGCGCTGCTCGCTGCTGTGATCACCGCTCCACTATGTGCTTAGCCTTAGTTCATCAACAAAAGGGGTAACAGTATGTTCATTATTATTGTCATTGTTTTGTTAACTCTTTTATCTATTGAGAGCTGATTTCTGCATAAAGAAAGAGTAAGTTGCTTTATTACATGTGCGTGTATGTGAACGCCGTTACATAAATCCTGCTGAACCCGGCATCTCATCATCCACATGATAAGAAAGGCAAAGGACCCGGATGATAGTAGATAGCATTTAATAAACGCTCCTCACTGCTTTGAAGCAATATATGTACATGTTTTCACAATATATCAAGGTAGAATTCTTGACAATAAATCACCTTATTCTCTAGTTTGGAGTTTGAGACAAAAATTGGTCCGCTATACCTAATAGGTAACTCGAAAAAAAAAAAAAAAAAATCAGCAGCAAGTCTCGGAAAACGAATAGGAACTTTCAAAGACAAGCCCACAATGGAACAAGGATATTATGTTTAAAACATGGATTGTGTGTATGTATAATCAGAACAATTAAAGTCTTAGCGGAATACGGAAGAAGTGGTTAACTACCTACTGAAAGCAGATGCCAAAATATTTTAGTTTAGTGTAGAGAAAATGCTATCGGGTCTTCAAAAAAAAACCAATCAAAGATTGCTTTGATTACGAAAATTTATGTCGCATTATTGTTTGATTATTGGTCAGGATTTTTGACATGACATTTTGACATTAAAGTTCATTGACAAAATTAAAGAAAAATATTTCTAAGACATACGTTTAAAAAACCATAGCAATCTTTGATTGTTTTTTTTTTTGAAGACCTGATATCATCCAACCAATCGAATGCCTTACTGTAATCTAGTAGTATCAGACAAGTAAGGTGAGTTAGGTTAAGTTATTATTTTTTGGAATAGGGGAGATATTGGAAATTTTCCATAATGTTGGAAAGCAATTAGATCTTAAAAATTTGTTCACGTTATATGTAAGGTGTATGCTTGAATGTGGCGTTAAAATTGTTAAAAATAGAAGCATTCTAAGATTAATTCCATCCACACCTTTGGCATTACTTCTCATTTTATTTAAGATCTTTCCAAATTCTTCCAAAGCGAGTTCTCGAAATTCAAAAAGTTCAGAGTCTGCAGGTAAGATAGTTCTATTCTCAGAGTAACACTACATAAATAGAAAGGGCAAGCCATTCATAAAATCGTTTGGTTTCTGCGGCCAACAATCCTAAACGACAATAGTGAATTAATGAATGAACTGCATGAAGTGGGGATAAGATTGCGGACAATGCGGGCCAATGACAAACAAAACCCGTTTGACATTTCTTACTATGAATACTAGAGCGCATTCGCGATTATGGTCGGGCTTGCTCTGGCAATATTTGCATCCTTCTTTATCTGGTAATCTTAACAAAGATAAAACGATTCAGGTGGGCGTTCCCAGACGAATACAACCAGGTTCCGAGATTTTAGGCAGTGTTGCCATTTTCAGCTAGCACAAATTCTTATTCAAATTTTATTGTGATAATAGATTATTATTTTATATAATAATTATTCCTATTCAATTTTGGAAAGCACCGCGATATTTTGTGTTATAATTGAATATACATACCTATCTAGGTTTTTGTATTTACAATATATTTTTTTCAATTTCCAATTCCATTTTCCCTGCAACTTAGGATAATTTATAAATATGGCACATCTACAGTAAGTGTCCTCAAGTGAGCTTAGAATGGGAGTCAATGTTTGGGGCATCTTTTAATCATAATAAACCTATCTATTTCATGTGTTAATCTGAGGTTCTATTTACATATGTATTATTGCTAAAATCATGGTTGTTGGCAGTGAAAGGTGGTATACTTGTTTTAAAATAATTATCAAACATGTCCGGAGTCTCATTCAAAAAACTACAAGATTGAGAACTTGAACTTAAGCCAACACTCAGATATTTCAAAGTTTGCCAGTATATTTTGGATAAGTACGATCTTTTTTCAGATTTAATAAACATATTGAGTAAGTTTCTCAGAGACTTGTAGTGATTCCAACTAACATTCGTTATGTCTTATGTTAAAGCCTCATCTCTCAGTTTCATCATCAATTTTAAATTTTCGGTAAATCATGGTGCAGGACGCTTAGTCATTCTAGATGTTTTTAACGGCGCGTGGAATGATCGAAAATCTTTAGAAGGAAACAACAATACAAATCCGTTCCATCTCGATGCCTGCTGATGTCGCTATATGTCGACGACGCATCCGTGGTTGAAAGGATAATGGATTCCAAACAACCATTAATTGTGAATGTATTCCTCTTATACCTTCTAACTCACTCCCATACTAATAGTAACGCCGAAGGTTGCCGTTGATCTTCACAACTAACAAGTTAAAATTGATGAAAGACTTGATCGACAAGGTAGAAATGAAACAGGTCTCGGTGGCTCAGTTGGTAGAGCATGCACTGGATATGCGATGGTCCTGGATTCAAATCCTAGTCGAGGCGAGAAAATTTTTCATTTTTGATTGAAACATCTGCAAGCCATTAAAATTAAACACACTGTGAATTAGTTTGAAATTTGCAAACGAGCTCTTAACAACACAATGAAATATGGAACGTTGCATGCTAGGCATCTCACTTCGTGAAATAGAAACGAAAATATCAGGGGACAAACTACTGATATAATGCAAGCTGTGACTGTGATGAAATGTCAATGGGCTGGTCATGAGGCTAGACTGGCAAGAGACAGATGGGCACATAAACTTAACAGTGTGTGGAAGAATAAACGACGTGTGAGACGCCCACAGAAACGATGGGTGGGACGATATTCGAAAAGTTGTAGGTAAACAGAGGTTAAATATATACCTACATCACAGAACAGGGGAACATTGAAGCGATTTAGAGAGACATATGTCCAAGAGTGGATAAATAGGAGTTGAAAAAGGAGAAGATGCGAAAAATAACATCTATTTTCTTTTATTATTTTTTTTTTTTTTTTTTTTTTCATGTTGGCCGATCATAACTGAATAATGACTCGACGTGCATTTTGTAGGGTGATTTTAGGTTTTATTCACTTTACATGCGATAAAAAATATTCCGCTGGGATATAAAAAAATACATGCTATATGGTAACTATATAATAAGATCTCAGTCCCAGTCACCAAAACCTTTTAGATTTGATTCTCTATATCAGGCTATGCATGCATCATAAATCAGATTTACTAAAAAGAGTTAAAAGTGACACAATGTAGGTATTTAATATTCTCCATCCAACAGACAATGTTAACTATATGTCTGGAAACTGATAAAATAAAAGTGCTCGTTCGAGGTTTTTACTGAATTTAAAATTTTTATCATTGCAGTACTTATTGCGGTTCACTCAAGCATATTAATCAAAAAAGATGCTCCAGTAACAATATTTCTCTATAAGCAAAAAAAGTCAATATGCGTCAGAGATCATAATATAGGCATATAAAACTCGGTTGAATGGTCTCAGGGTCTCAGTGATTTCCATTTAATCTCGTTTTATGGCTAATAAAGTCAATATCTTCTTTTTCCATAATACTATAAGAGCGTCCAGCCATAAATAGCAGTGCCATAGAGGAATTTTATGTTTTAAAAAATATTGTAAATTTAAAAGAACACCTAAAAAAATTATGAAACATATACATACAATGTGACTGCTCTATTTTACGGTTTAACATTTAAATTCTAATTCAATATATAAAGCCCTTTAACAGATTGCCACTGTATAAAATATTCAATTTAGCAAATTCCCACACACAACCGAGCTCCAAATCGATCGACTTCGGCGTAAGGACGTTTTAATATTGCAATGTACAAGAAATTCCGCACGAAATGACTGCTTTCAATTCAATAGAAGATGAATTGAGACATAAAAATGTGAAAATAATAATGGAAATAGTTGGCATATTGATACATACCTCTGGCGCCATATAATCGGGAGTACCGCAAAACGTGTCGGCCATTCTGTCCAAGAAAATTTGCAATTTGCACATACCGAAATCGGCGATTCGCACGTGACCGTCAAAATCTAGAAGAATATTGTCTAATTTCAGGTCCCTAAAAAAAATTATATCAGTTAATTGGGAATATAGGCAAAATAGGTAGGTATATGTATGAAGTGAATTTTCTCCAGGAATTACACTCTGGAATTGATAATATGTACTTAATATATTCTGCAAGTTAAGTCGAAAATTGTAGTCGGCAACTTTATGATCTAATTTCGTTGATAGTAAAGTAGTTTTAATTCATTCCCTGATGACTCTGGAAATTAGTGCAAGTCACTTAGGAAATAGAAACGCTGAGTAGTCAGTTTATGTCTTTATATGTAGAGTGGAATAGAGAGGAGTTTTCCACAATTTACGTGCAAGAGAGAAAATAAAGTGAGTCCTTGACGACAGTATGACGAGTTGCTGTATTTTTATTTTAACATTTGCTTTCTTGTGGTGATAATTTGTTCAAGCAAGTATAAATCAGTAAGGCTTTTTTTATTAAATCACAAGCGTCGATTTTCCTATTTAAACGTTATAAGCGGCCCTCATTACTGGGCTCAAACTGGTGTGTAGTTAAAATTTATATTTATTACTGAAATATGCTGCAAAATTAATGTGCATAATTAGAAGGCTAATGGTATGCGGGGAGGAGAAATGATTTATTTAGCATATAGAGTGAATGTGTATCACTACAATCTATTTGTCATAAAAACATTGTGCTGCGCCAGGAAAATATTGTACATTTTAGCAAATTGCGAATAAACCCTATGATAGATTGAAATTATTTATGAGCTATTTAAATATTTTGCTATTAATGTTGGGCTGGTGAATTTTTCATTAATTATTTTTCATTAATATTTTAATTAGGGATGCGCACGATGTAGATATCCATGTTTCAAAAACATCGATTTTCTTATTCCGATGTTCGATGTTTATATCGATTTTTTTTTTATTCGATATTATTAGAGAACATAGTTACATTCAATACATTCTCATAAACTTAGAGTTCAGCAGAACTAGTCCGACCGTTGCATTTCTTGGGAACAGCTTTGTCAGCAAAGCCAATAATTATAAATATTAATTTTACTTAGGTTTAAGTCAGTTGTATTGTAACCACCATTGAAAATAAAAAAATTTAAAAACTAACTCACAAAATTCGAGTTGTTAACTGGCGCAGTCGGTAGGATATTGTTGACGGTTTCGCGCATCGTGCGACAAAGTTATCGGTTCGTTCCAACGATTTACGGCAATATCGAACGAAATTTTCGAATGTGGTGCAACGCAACTCACCCAGACCAGGGAAACCGGGAACAAAAATCGTCCTATTCCTATTGGTGCGAGCAAACGGAACAAAAATCGTTCAGACGCTCATAAGGTAGTTCCAGGGAGAAGACAAGCATCGCTTTTCCTATTAGGCTTAGGTTAAGAATGAAGAAAATCATCGTATTCCTGCTACTGTAAGTGAATCCTTTCAGTTTCCATTTTTTATTTTTTCCTGATTGTTTTATTGCTATACACTGTTTTGACAAGTTAGGAAAATCCTAATTTTACTTTTCATATATTTCTACCTTATTACTTAGTTATTTACTTATTTTTCTTAAAACCAAAAAACAAAACAAAAATTTTTGTTTTTGTCAATTTTCAATTTCGATTCTTTAAGAAAATAATTTAAAAATGGCAAATTATACTCTAGTTCGTTATCAAGCAGATAACATACCTAGTTTTGATGGTAATCCAAAACAAGATAATAGATTTATAAATGCTTGTACTAATTTTTTAACAGCTCATAGCGATCCCAATAATGCTGGCGCAGCCATTAATATTGCTCTTTTCGATACAATTTTAAGCAAACTAGTTGGTAGAGCAGCAGGATTTAGTAAAAAATGCGATTATTGCAACTTTCTCCGATCAAAGATCAATTGATTGTGTTATACAGGACATCATTACAATGAAGCCTGAAAAAAATGAAAATCCTCAACAATTTGGTATACGTTTGCAAGACGCCCGTAGCTTATTATTTTCAAAAGTTAATGTTTCTAACGATACTCGTGCTATTAAATTATTAAAAATCGACGAGTATGGTAAATTAGTGATGAAAACTTTTATTACTGGGCTCAACTATCACATGCAATTGATAGTTAGATTGAAAAAATCCTGACTCTCTTGAGCAAGCTATGTCATTTGCTTTAGAAGAAGAAAATTTTCTTCAATTTAAAAATAGTTCTAATTTTATGCATAAGCAAACACCTTCTGGGAATAATGCAAATTCTCAATTAAATGCGAATAAATTCAAAAGACCAATGCATTATTCTGCTAATGCATACCGTCCGCAAAATGTACCAAATTTTAACAATAATTTACCAAAAAATAATAATTCAAACTTCTATAATAACTTTAACCCAAACTATAACCCACAAAGAAACCCAAATTGCAACCAATTTAGAACAAATGCCCAAAATTCTGCCCAATATAAACCTTTCTCAAATAACCTCAAAAATTTCAATAATAATTTTAGAGTTTCCCAAAATAATTCTAGCGTATCCCGCAGAACAGTGGAATCAATGGATACAACTTCCATAAATACTGCAGCCAATCGGTCAATACAAAGACGATTCGCTCAAGCGCCCCAACGCAATTTTAATTCACAAGAACTTTTCAATCAATCTATTGAACCCTTACCAAATAACACCGAAATCGACCCCAATGATCAAATTGATTATTCCCAATTTCAGAATCAATATTCCGAACAGCAATATTACCCTGATTCTGATGATAACCAAATTTCATTTGAAGAAAATGACTATGACAATAACAATCCCTATAACCAAAATTACGAAAATGCTAGTGATTATGGATACCCATCAGGTTATGATGAAAATTTTCAAATAGTGACCCCAACCAACAATGTGACGTAATAAATCTCAATAATTATTCTAATTCCGATTTACCCGTTCTTATATTACCCGAATTAAATGCCAAATTTCTCATCGACACTGGTAGCGGAAAAAGTTTTATCAAACCCAATCTTGCTTATCAAATATATCCAAATTCAATCGACTTTGAACCATTTTCAGTGCGTACGGCACATGCCACATCAATTCATAATGAGGTAGTAAAAATTCCTATATTTCCTTCTTTTAATTGTCAAGGAAATCACAAATTTTATTTATTTGATTTTTCCCCAAAATTTGATGGATTATTAGGAACAAATTTCTTTATACAAATTGGTGCGAAAATTAATCTGAAAAATAAATACTTGAAAACGCCAAACGCAACGTTTCGTTTGTATTTTCAAAGCGAATTGAAACCCGAGAAATCATTACATCATTTTGAAACATTTGAAGCTATTATTCCGCCTCGAACTTGTCAAAAAATAAAAGTACCAGTTAGGGAAGAAAATGATATAGGTATTTTAAGTTATACAGACTTTGGTGCCGCTGAAATACCAGAATCTTTAGTAAATATAGTCGACTCTTTTGCATTAACAACCATATTAAACCCACGCGAAAACCCTGTGAAGATAAGCATATATAAGCCACTAGATATTGAATTACTTGACGACGCTGAGATTAATTTCTATGAAAATATTGAGGTCAACAATTATAACGTTAATAATAATGACCATTTCGATAATTTGCAAAAACAAAATCTTAAAAATTTAAGATTATCTCATTGCAATACTGAAGAATACAAAGCCATTCGAGAACTTTGTTATCAGTATCGTGATATATTTTTCTGTGAAGGTTCGTCCTTAACTTTTACCAACCAAATTAAACATAAAATAAATCTCACTGATAAAACTCCAATATTTACTAAAACCTATCGATACCCTGCAGTCCACAAACAAGAAGTTACCACCCAAATAAACCAAATGTTACAAAACGGCATTATTCAGCATTCTACGTCACCTTGGAGTAGTCCTATATGGATTGTCCCGAAAAAAATGGACGCCACTGGAAAAAGAAAATGGAGAATCGTAATCGATTATCGGAAACTTAATGATAAAACGATTGACGATAAATTCCCATTGCCCAATATTTCCGATATCTTGGATAAATTAGGCAAGGCGCAATATTTCACGACACTCGATCTGGCCAATGGATTTCATCAAATCGAACTTGATCCCCGTGATATTTCCAAGACAGCTTTTTCCACCGACACCGGACATTTTTAATTCAAACGAATGCCCTTCGGTCTTAAAAATGCCCCTTCGACCTTCCAGCGAGTCATGAATAACGTTCGCCGAGGCTTATAGAACGAAACTTGTTTAGTTTACCTCGATGATATAATCATTTTCAGCACTTCTCTAACAGAACACATTCAACCACTTCGTAACGTCTTTGAGCGCCTCAGACAGTCAAACTTCAAAATCCAGCTAGATAAGTCTGAATTCTTGCATAAAGAAGTTGCATATCTTGGACATAAAATCACTAACGATGGAGTCAAACCCAACCCCGACAAAGTCGAAGCTGTAAGACATTTTCCAATCCCGAAAACACAAAAGGATAAAAAATCTTTCTTAGGCTTAGCCGGTTATTATCGCCGATTTATCAAGGATTTTGCCAAAATCACAAAGCCCTTGACCTCCTGCCTAAAAAAAGGTGCAAAAGTCATTCATAATGAACCTTTCATAAAATCATTCAATCATTTGAAAGAACTTCTTATAAATGCACCTATCCTGAAATACCCTGATTTCGAAAAACCCTTTGTACTTTCCACAGACGCCTCAAATTTCGCCCTTGGAGCCGTCTTGTCACAAGGAAATCCACCTTACGATCAACCAATTGCTTTTGCGTCTAGAACACTCAATGAAACCGAACAAAGGTATTCCACAATAGAAAAAGAACTTTTGGCTATTGTTTGGGCCTGTAAATATTTTCGACCCTATCTATACGGTCAAAAATTTAAAATATATACTGACCACAGACCTTTAGTCTGGCTTTTTAACGTGAAAGAGCCAGGATCCAAGCTAATAAGATGGCGCCTCAAGCTTGAAGAGTACGATTATGAGATTATTTATAAAAAAGGCAACCAAAATGCAAACGCCGGTGCACTTTCTCGTATATCCTTACATGCTATTGAATCTGAATCTCTCATTAATCTTTCCGGAAACATTGATGAAGATATCAATCAATTTTTAAACGAAAATCTCGATCCACGTTTCGATCCCAATAGCGTCACAGATGAAGCAGTGATAGAAATCTTACGAGAAATCGAAGATATTCCACAAACTCCGGAAGTTCCTAAAGTGAATATCGTATCGAACGTTCAAATTCGAACACCAGTAAATTTCGAAAGTCGTCCTTCCACAAGTAAAGCCAACTATCAAGCCCCTATCATAATTGATCCAAAGAGAAACCAAAATGAAATTGAATCCCTTCCAACTCAAACAGCACATAGCACAGACGCTGTAGACAATTACTCAAATATGACTATGCTAGATGAAATAATCAATAATAAATCAATGCAATTTATTATTAAAAAATCTCCTTACGACGCCTACATTAAAATAGAACCTGAAAATTTTGATGGTAATAAAATCATTCATGCAACTTTACCTACCCAAATTCCAGCCATTTTGAAATTTCTAAGAGAATATCTGCAGACAAAGTCAACATACATTTATTTCTTTTCGAAAGATCTTAGAATCTATTTCCAACAATGCATGAAAAATCACTTTAAAAACCTAAAACTAATTGAATGTACAAAGTTAATTAATAACGTACAACCAGAAGACCGAGAACTCACAATTAAGTACAGACACGAAGGTAAAACAAACCACCGTGGTATTGACGAAACACACAAATTTATAAAAGCCAATTATTATTGGAAATCTTTAGAACAAGATGTTATCAAATACATCAATAACTGTGAAATTTGTCAAAGAACTAAATACAATCGTAAGCCTCCTGACCAACCCCTCGTGCTTACCGAAACACCAAGTAAACCTTTTGAAATCATTCATATCGACACTTTCATAATAGGCAAACAAAAATTCCTCACGTTATTAGATAAATTTTCCAAAATTGCTCAAGCACTCCCCTATTCAGGAAACGCAGTTTCGTGCGCATATCAATTAATTCACTTTTTCCAATTTTTCGGTGTACCAAGACAAATTATTTCTGATAATGGATCGGAATTTAAAAACGAAGTAGTCAATGGACTTCTTAAAGCCCACAATATAAAAATACATTTTACCACCCCCTATCACCACGAATCTAATTTGCCAGTCGAAAGGCTACATTCTACTCTAATCGAACATATTCGAATATTGCGAGAACCAGACCCAGATTCCGATGTCACCAAACTATGCCATACGCTATTATTGCTTACAACAGCACTATTCATTCTAGTACTAATTTTAGTCCCTACGAACTCGTATTAGGAAACACAGATTCTAGAGACCCTATGAACTTAGTATCATCCCACGTATTTACTGAATATCTTAATACCCACAAAAGTAAAACTCAAGTACTTTATGATGAAATTACTAACAAAACCCAACAATCAAAAGAAAAACTAATTAACAAAATAAACGAAGACAAAATCTCACAAAACTTAAAAGTAGGTTGTCAAGTTTATAAAAAATCCGACAATCGAGCGGGAAAATCTAAAAAGAAATTTTTAGGTCCTTTCACTCTCACTCAAATTCTACCTAATAATAAAATTGAGATAGAAAATCCGAAAACAAAACATAAAGAAGTAATTCATATAAACGAAACCAAAATTAAACCCCTTGTTTTAGATGGACATGGACCCTTGGAAACCACGTAAAATACCATAACTTGAATAAAAATCCAGGAATCCTTCCTTTCAAGTTGGGAACCGCCAAAATCATATCCAATTCATGGTCCTTTGCACAAACCTTTAACTTGACTCCCATAATAAACCAATTTGACTCTCTTAAAATACAAGCAAGACGCTTATCTTCCAATATAAGCTCTAAAGACAATTTCTATATTGAATATACGAATTCGCTCGTATCCCTACATACTCTAGAAAAACGCATAGAAAATCTAATCGAACAAATTGTTCCAACAGTAGGAAATTCGAATAGAATTAAGAGAGGATTATTTAATCCTTTGGGCTCATTTATAAAAGTCATTACTGGAAATCTAGACCAAAATGGCGCCGAGAAAATTGACGAGAAAATTAAACTATTACAAGAAAATCAGAATAAACTTAAATCGGACGCAATCAATCAAATCACCTTAATGGACTCTACGATTGATAAATTCGATAAAATGATTTCTAATATAACACATAACGAATTGGTCCTTCGATCCCGAATCTTACAAATTGAACAAGTAATTAAAGACGCTAATCTAACCCAAAACATTCGAGGTTATTTTATGACGTTCACAGTAATTAATCAAATTACTTTAATGTATCAATCAATTTATAGTATTCTTGATAAATTGGAAGTAGCTATAAGTTTTTCCAAACTTAACACCTTACATAACTCGATAGTGAACCCAAACGAACTCTTATCTGAAATTAAAAATGTCGAATCACATTTGAACCCGGATAGGTTACCAATTTCTCCAGTACCTGAAAACATACTGATTTTCGAGACATTTCTACAAATTAAATGTTTCTTAAAAGATTTTAATGTCATATTTATATTGGAACTCCCACTTGTAGAAGCGGGTGTGTATCAATACTTCAATCTACATCCATTACCTATCCCAACAAACCATAATCAAACCTTTTTCGTCAACATCCCACATAAGCCATACCTAGCACTAAGTGACGTCAAATACTCCTATATGGACCAACGTTGTGAAGAAATCTCGCCTGATGAATACCTATGTCAAAAAGCCCGTACTACCTTTATCGAAAACTACCTTCCATGCGAAGTACAGCTGATTAAATACAGTACAAACATCACATCATGTCATCCTTTCGAAGTTCAATTGCACGCACCGCAAATAACCAAAATTATTGATGGAAAATGGCTCGTTACAGTTCCTATTCCACTTAAAAGTTCAACGAACTGTCAAAACCTAAAGGAAACCGTACCCATCTTCGGATCCTACCTACTAGAAGTGCCCGTTGATTGTAAAGCCAAAATACAATCAACCACCCTCGAGAGCTTCAAGCCAAGTCGACTCTCTTTTAAAGAAGTCAATTTACCGATATTGGACCTATCATTGATTAACCATAACCAATCAATGCCCTACGACCTACCTTCATTGGATTTGAACATCATTAACGTCAAGACATCCAAAGACATAAAAGAAAAACTTCATGAACAAAAGAAGAAACTTGAAGAAATGTCAACCACGACGATTTATTCAAATCGCCTCAGTCTCTGGACAATATTATTATACTTAATCATTATATTAATTTTAATTTACTTTTTCAGCTTATTGTGCATTAAGAAAATTCGAAAGTTCCCAAAAAGTGAAAGTGATGAAGTTGAAGGCATTTTTTAATTATTTTTGTATTTTTGTGAAATCACGTTTTTTATTTTTCAGTACGTGCTTTCAACTCACACGGGAGGAGTTACATTCTCATAAACTTAGAGTTCAGCAGTTTGTTACTTTGTTTTCAGAACTAGTCCGACCGTTGCATTTCTTGGGAACAGCTTTGTCAGCAAAGCCAATAATTATAAATATTAATTTTACTTAGGTTTAAGTCAGTTGTATTGTAACCACCATTGAAAATAATTTTTTTAAAAAACTAACTCTCAAAATTCGAGTTGTTAACTACATCGATTTTTTTTGCGATGTTTTTTCGATGTTTTCTTCTAAATACTACACCAAAACTTTCAGTAACTTAGCAAAATTTGATGAAAATCTATTTGTTGAACATTGGGAAGAAATAAAGAGTGTGTATCTGTGACTATCAAAGATAGCTTCAAAATACTTGAGCGTTTTAGCAGCTTCGGTTTCATATGGGATACTATTTTCAAATGCAGGACAAATTTTGACACAACACAAGAATTATATGGAGAAGGAAAAAAATTGTCAAAATTGCTGTTCTTGGATAATAATTGTGTGAATTTCATACATCTGTCAAAACTGGTATTCCAACAATAAATTGACATGTTTTGATTGTTAATTTGAACCAATCAGATTGTAATTACGCGATAATTTGCACTAGTGCAAATTATCAGATAATTGCATACTAACTGGTGCGAAAACTGGTGTTTTGATTTATGAAATTCTCTCATTAAATACAACTCGTGCAATGGAAATATATTTATAATTTTCGACAAATTTGCACTCATGCGTTTTTAGCTGAAAAATGCATTCGGGCAAATTTCCCAAAAATTATCAATAATTTCCATTGCACTAGTTATATTACTATTGATTAAAATATTATTGTTATTCGTATTCATATCATTTAGGTCAAGTATCTAACTAGATTTACTCCCTAGTGCTTAGTTCTTGCTATTGTTTGCTTTCCAATGTACTTTTTCTTCATTATAAATCGTATATTTATTACCTGTATGTATATTATATTAAAAATACATAAGTAGGTTAAGTAAAAATTATATTCTATTTATTAACAGTTTAATTTTTTCTTACCATATTTTCAAAAGCATCGATGTTTAGAAACATCGATATTTTCAAGCCGATGTTTTTACAACATCGATTGTACATATTCGATGTATCATTTGATGTCAACATCGATGTTTTCAAAATTTTGCGCATCCCTAATTTTAATTCTTGTAAAAAATGTGTATGCTTGTTTAATACAATAATGTGGTTTTGTCGATCCGAGTAGGTTTTCAATGTAGAATTCTCAATTGTTTGGGTAGGATCGGAAAAAAAAAAACGCAGAAGTCTGGTTTTTAAAAAAGTCGACGTTTCGCAAAATTTATTTGCATCTTCAGGACACTGTAATGATAAAAAATAAAAGGGTTCTTTACAAACTTAGATGATGAACTACAAAAATACAAAAGACAAACAAAAAACAGAGCTATCCTCCGATTTCGCACTACATTACTTGAATAAATATTTCATAAAAACATAAAGAAAATAGCAGAATTACATGAAACTTTCAAATAAATTATACGTATATAAAAATATACAACGGTCGAAATTTGATCGTGGCGCCATCTAAGACAAAACTTCAACACCAAGCAGCAATTTTCGCTGCAATATGGTGACTGAGTAATCTAATCGGCCAACCAAATTTCAGTTCGTGGGGAAACCCAGAATAGGAAAACCTATTATCCACTGATGAGAAAATATTTGGTTTGATTTTCCATGCTTTTCCATCCATAGACGCGTTTCGACCTATCAGGTCTCATCAGTATGGCTAGGAAAAGCAAAGAAAACCAAACCAAGTTTCGTGCCTGTAGGCAATATATACATAGTACAACGGTCGAAATTTGATCGTGGCGCCATCTAAGACAAAACTTCAACACCAAGCAGCATGTTATTAATTTTTGAATAACATTTCCGTTTGATGAATGGTTAATTTTTGTTTTTTTTTATCTCTCATTTGAGGTGTGTAAAGTTTGTTGTTTTTGCTTTTTTAAATTTTAAATTGTTATTGTTGTGCTACGTAATTGTGTGTTTTTTTTAAATTTTTTATCAACTATGTTTTCGAGAAACCTCTATACCTATGTGAATCTGTTAAACAACAATGACAAGGAAAGTCTAATTTAAATGTAAGTAATCAAGTCAATTTCACTACCCTTTGTTAACTATAAGTATTTTTTCTATGTTTTATGATGCTACTCTCCCCACTTACAATATAGCTATATATATTTTTATATACGTATAATTTATTTGAAAGTTTCATGTAATTCTGCTATTTTCTTTATGTTTTTATGAAATATTTATTCAAGTAATGTAGTGCGAAATCGGAGGATAGCTCTGTTTTTTGTTTGTCTTTGGTATTTTTGTAGTTCATCATCTAAGTTTGTAAAGAACCCTTTTATTTTTTATCATTACAGTGTCCTGAAGATGCAAATAAATTTTGCGAAACGTCGACTTTTTTAAAAACCAGACTTCTGCGGTTTTTTTTTCCGATCCTACCCAAACAATTGAAAATTCTACATGCTTGTTTAATGTCTATTATATTTTCTACTGAAGGTCCGCATCAAAATGCTATGGGTTCAGACGTTGAAAGTATTAGTATGGAGTTCTATGTGGCTATTTTCTTGGCCGGCGCTGGAAACAACTACTTTTTGAATATCAGACTGTTATCAAAAAAATAATAAAACCTGATATTTCAAAATCAACAATTATTCTCAATTAACATCAAACGTTTGCCAAAACGATAACCAAAATACTGGAACTATAATTTCAGCGACAGGTGCAATAGGTACGTCTTTATTAATGATGTAACGAATAGTAGTTTGGCCAAATAACCGAATACCGGATATTCGGCTGAATTTAAACCGAATATTTGGCCGAATACCGAATACTTATTAAAGCATCTTAGAGCTATAAAAAATCGTGCGCAGGAATGAAAGGAATCGGTACCTGATAGAGCGGAGCATTTGGTATTTCTACCTTACCACATCATACCCTACCACTTATTGATTTTCAATAATGATTATTCTACCCCTTATTGTTCTACCACAACCCTCTTTACGTATCCAGCCATGAACAAACATGTGGCAACACTGCATCATCAATGACTTGGTGGTAGGACCGTCGCGTATTGCGACGCGTCCTTGCAGTTTAATTTTGCAGTTTATTAACAAGGGTTATGGACAGTGATATGAAATGACGGTCATCTGAAATCGTGACGGTCATTTGTTTTGTTATTTCAATTTAAAACGCCACTTCATATAGTATATCATCTATTAACTCACTAATCGGGTTTAAACAGGGATAGTCAATTATTGATTATAAAGTTTTGACAAATTATCAAAGATTTCAGAAAATAAAGAAATTTCAACAAATAGTAGGTAAGTCGTTAAGTGCAGTAAAGGCATTTTCCGCATGTGTTAGGCACAAAATTATACCTACATATGAGCATCTATACCTTCCAAAGAAGGCATTATTGAAATTTCTGAACGGGAACGGATTTGTGTATCTACTGAATGTATTTGAATACCGATTCTACTTTACCCCATACTATGCAGTCTATTTTACTACACATTTCCACCCTATGCGGTAAAATGTTCATTACCAACGGTCACATCGAATGTGACGTGATGGTCATGACCTTCATGACCCGCCGTCATGCGCGCTGACCGTGACCCACTAACATCACTGGTTATGGATAAAAAATATATATTTTTTCAATGTATTTCAATGTTTTATTTATAGTAAAAAAGTACCTACTTTTTATTGAGGCCCAGTTCAAGGGCAAGTTCTAGCAACATCTTTACAAAACAGAACAAATCTAAATCATCGAATAATCATCTAACTAATAATACAAATAAGCAGAAACATACACCTAGGTAGATCCTATATGAATTTAAATTTTAAACAGATGTGGTTGATAGATAATAATTATCTTCGCGAATGATGGCTGCTTCCGAAAAGTGTAAAGCACAAACAACAGAATATTTTGATGGTGTCCAGTTATCCCTAGGGATTAATTTTAACCATTTTTCTCTTAAATCACCATCATTTGGAAATTTAAAGGTAAAAACAACTGTCTTACCTTGTTTTATGGTACCTACTCTCATAATTGGATTAGCATGAATTGCATCCCGGGACACAGCACGTTTTCGGCATAATAAATTATCAAATTCAAAAATTTGAGGGTACGTAGGTACCAGTAAAACATAACTGTTCACTTTAAGCTTCGAAACACAACGAATTTAGGTCCAGAAACTATTATTGTTTACAAATACACAAACCGGAACCGGCACTTATTTAGAGCAGAGAAAAACTTGACATTGTATGACTGCCTATTAACAAAAACACTGGAAATGGTTCCAACTAGTTAGTTATTCACTAACAACAATACCTATCTATAATTTAACTATATTTTCAGCTTATTTTAATAAAAAAAAAAAGCTATAAACAACAGTTTTAGAGGTTATAATACTCATCAGCTGTTACACGATTATTAGGCAATTTAATCCATCTGTCAAAAAGGAAAATTCAATATGGCGTGGCGGCCAAGCAAGCTTGTTTTGAATATGTTTTTATGTGTATTTTAGATTATTTTGCTTAAAGTTTTGCTTGTAACTTTGATTTTGATTATTTAATACGATACTTGTTGACTAGGTACCTAAACTATTAAATCGGGCAGAAACTAGATATGTTTTTGTATTTTTTGGCCCATGTGTGGCCGCCACGCCATCTTGAGTGTCACGTGGTTTGAAGTGCCTAATGGAGACTGCATACCACCAAGCAGTGTTGCCGCGTCTACTCTGTTCATGGCTGGATACGTAAGGAGGGTTGTGATGGTGCTCTAGATCCGCCACTGTGATGTAGTACAAAGTTTCTACACATAGATTACTGTATCAATTTTAAAATATGACGTGCACCTTTTGCCGAATTTTCTCTGCAGATTTTGTCTCTAGTTTTGTTTTTTTTAAGTACAGTTCAATGTTTTTTTATACATTGGAAAATGTACTGGCGCCGAAATTATATTTTCCTTTTATTTATTTTTTATCTCTAATAAGTACATACATAATTTTTTCTTATATTAACCTTTCTCATTAAATTAAACTTAGAGCCAAATGAACAACAGTTTTCGTATTGTTAATTG